AATTTTTATAAAAAAATCAGTATTTTAAAATTTTGACCATATAAACCAGTCAGGAAATTATTACATGTTTTTACAATTAATTCAGACATGATTTATCTAAGAGAACCAAACAATTTAACAAAAACTGATTACAAATTATTACATACTTTTAAAATTTTGACCATATGGAGGTTTTTTTAATTAAATACAGCGAAATCTTCTGAGATATGAAAAAAAAAAAGAAAATCAAACAATTTTAAAAAACTTATTACAAATTCAGAAAGGTACAATTCGTATTAATAATAGTTTCCTGTGGTTTCTTCAATGTCGTGGACCAAGACAACAAAGAGAAAAAAAAAGGGGGTGCACTTACTTAGCCCACGTGATAGTCACATGTGAGAGGTCGTGCGTGCGTGCGTGAGAGTGACCACTCGTGTCGTAGTGTCGGGTCGGGTCAAACCAATCAATTGGGCATTTTGAAAAGAGACCCACACCCGTTTGGGTTCGCACGTGGGTGGACCTTGTATAGTTTATTATCCATCTTCACCGACACATGTTCATTTAATAATTTTATTTATTTGTAAAATTATTATGATACGCAAGGGTATATAGTTCATTTTATTAGCGTTTTCTAAATATGTGTTTTGACTAATGAGACGTCGAACAAGAAAGTTTTCGAGCCAATTGGGTGTGCAAACGTGATATGGTATCAGAGTAGATCCACGAGCCGTCACATATGTTTTCTATTCGTCGTCGTCTTTATCCAGAAACTTGGCCTTGATTCATTGCAGTCTAGCCTCGCATGTTGTCCTGCTTGAGTACGGTCGACGTGTCGGATACCGACGTGATTTTGGTTTGTGTTCGTCCTCTCTAAGTGTTGTTGGTCGTTCATCATATCGACCGATCCGCTGAATAGACTCCGTCGCAGACACGGTATTGGCTCGAGACGAAAGATTTCGCCACATGATCTTATAGCTAATGATAATCTTGTTCTCTAATATCCATATCTTTCTATGGATAAATTTGTAATCCTCTATGATTTGACAGACTCTTGTAAAACCAAATTCTTTCGTTAAACAGTAATACGCAACCTTTAACCAAAAAACAATCCTGTTAATCCAATTTCTCATATGTTGTTGAAGGAGCATAATTGGTCTCGTGACATCCGTACAATATTACGGTCGAGAATGAAATTCGAGTTTGTCGATAGTTCGATCGAATGACTGTTGTCAGATTCAGATGATTTGAAAATATTGGTGGACTTGTAATTCTCTCGGCGAGAGTTTCAGATTGACAACGGGTCACACCAGACCAGAATTGGTTTTGGGCCAAACCAACTTGAATCGGACTGACCTACGGATTAGTCTGACCCATGTCGATTTATTCTACCTAGAAAACGTTCTGTGCTAATCCATGCGAGGCTTGATCCAGACCGATCTAACTTTAACCTGACCGAATCAAGTCTCGAAAAAAAAAATTTATGTTCTGATTTTTAGGGTTTCAGACTTATTTAGTGTTTGGAAAACGTCGTCCAAAAATGCACAAAACTTAGAGACAAGCACTAAAGAGCAAGAGAAGTCGTTTTCTGTGGATTCTAGTTCATGTGATTGGATTTCGACTTTTTTAAACCCTAAATCACTTTACGGATCCTAGCAGATTAGTTCTGAAGCATTTGGACCTTGTGTGGATTGGATTACTTCGGATCTGGTGCGGATCAATTTTTAGGCTTCTCTGGATCGCGACGTGACTTGGACCTTCCATCTCGCACATCAGTCCTTTGGACATTTTCGCAGATCCAACTCGACCCATTTTTAATTCTGATTTGACCCAATACTGATCCGGTCTGGTTCAGTGTTCTATTCTTTGGCTTTTTGGTGTAGATTGTGATCCGACCTCTTTCCAATCTGATCCGGTCCTGATTCAACCTCTGAAAAATGTCAGACTTTGTCTCTCAAACTCATGAATAGCTCTAGAGTTCAAACATCACCAAAGTCTGGTAACCTACGAAAATGAAATACAACTAAATATCGTGCTCAAGTGCGTCTAAAATATTTATAAATACATGTGATTACGATATAAACCGAATAAAAAACTTCTAGAGAGAGGGCGGGGAGAAGATTGTTTCTTCTGCCTATTTAATAACCGAATAACCGAACCGAACCGAACCGACTAACAGCGGTTCGGTTCGGTTCGGTTATTTGCTTAATAACCGAATAACCGCGGTTAACCGAACGGTTATTGAGTTTTTTTAATATCTTAATTTTTACCCTCATTATTATTAGTATTATTTTTTATACTTCACTTTTATCCTTATATATTTCACCCAATAAACCATAAAATGTAATGTTTTTTTAATTTTTATTCTAATTATTGAAGTTTTTAGATTTTTTTTATAATTTTATTATATGATTTGAATAGATATTTTGAAGTTTATGTAGGATTAATAATATTTTTTTCAAAATATATCATAACCGAACCGAACCGATCTAAAAGCGAACCGAATAAATCGAAAAATATAACCGTTTGGTTATAATTTTATTATGCAAAAACCGAACCGAACCGAACCAAAACTGAACTGAACCGAACCGATTAAATCTATATAACCGTTTGGGTATTATTTTTTTATAACCGAAATAACCGAACCCAAAATAACCGGACCGAAACTCGAAATGGTCACATCCCTGATCCATAGGACAGACGACGGGGAAACGACAGGGCTTAGTAGGCTGTAGAAAGAACGCGTCACTCTCAACATTTCAAGTCTTACAACCCTATAGTGAAAAAAATCATCATTTTTTCTAGGGGTGGGCAATTCGGTTCGGGAATTTAGTCTCGAACCGTCCCGAACCGATTAATTCGGGAACAGTTCGGTTCGGTATTATATAAAAATACCGAACGGTACAAGATTTAAGATACCGAACTGTTCGGGAACGGTTCGGTTCGGTTCGGGAAATACCGAACGGTATTTCGGTATTTTTATTTTTAATTAAAAAATATTTAATATTAATAATTAATTATGATAATTACTAAATATTAATAAATTGTTTACGTCATGTATTTAGATTTATGTTTATTTTGTTTAGCATTATCAAAGTTCAATAAATTATTTATTTGTATTAATTTTGATTATATTTAATAGTAAGTTGTCTATATTTTACTTTATAAATATTTTATTTTTATCTCTTTTTATTTATTTTTTTATATCACAGATACTTTATTTTATTGGTAAAAAAAAATTGATTTCTACATATATAATATGATTTTTAAAACGTAATTTAAAGTTTTGATCATATTTATAGAAAATTTCAAAATTATTATGTTAAATTTCTTTACGGTTACATCAAATTCAAAACTTTTATTTTGTTGTCTAAATTATTATATTGAATTTTTTTATTTTTATACTATATGAATTATATGAACCGTCCCGAACCGTTCCGAACCGTCTTTATTTCGGTTCTTATTTGGTACTTATTTATTAGTACCGTTCCGTCCCGAACCGTCATAATACCGAACCAAACCGAATAATATACGGTACTAATTTGGTATAAATTTTATAATACCGAATAAACCGTTCCCGAACCGAACCGTTAAAATTCCGAACCGAATCCCGAAACGCCCACCCCTAATTTTTTCCATTACAAAATTCTTTGTCGCTTTTATTAAAGATCTTATAATTAAAGGTCGGCACGGATCGGATATTCGGGATTTTTGATACATCTGTATCCGTATTCAATCTACACAAATATTCGATTTTGTTATCCGTATCTGATCCGTAATTTTCGAATATCTGTAATTTTGGATATCTGTAAAAAATCACTTATATTTATGGATATATGTATCTAATCTAAAATGTTATAAAATTTTGATTTAAAATTAAATAACAAAATCAAATACAAATATAAATACAATCATAATTTATCACATATAAATATATTCAAAATTCAAAATATTAAAACGTAATAAATCTTAATATTCAAATGATTAAACATTCTAAACTTCAATATATATAAAATATTTCTTGAATTTCCTTAAAAACGTATAAATATTAAGTATTTTAAATATTTATATAAAATTATTCTTATATTTAATAATATTATTAAAAATTACAGATCGGATCGGATATATTAGATAATTGGATTTTGATATATGTATCCTATTATATCAAAATAAATATCTATATTATATTCGTCGTATATCCGAATTTTTGTTTTGGATATGAATCGAGTAACAGATTAGTTTAGTTTTTCTAGAAATTTTGCTCACACTACTTGTAACATAAATAAAAATATATTACATATATATACCCTGTTAAAATAAAATTATAAAGAAAATAATTCAATCGATTCAACAGGTTTTGTACAAATTCAAGATTTTGTTTATATCTTCAAACAGAAAAATGTGTAGAGTTAATTGGAAATAAAGTAGCACCACAAGGTCCGCTACAAGCTTACTGGGCCGCCACGCCTCCTTCCTCCTCCTCCTCTGTCAGTCAATTCTCTCTCTCTCTCTCTCTCTCTCTCTCTCTCTCTCTCTCTCTGGTATTCTTTCTCTTTCTCGAGTTACTTGTTTCAGTGCCCAATGATCTCTCCGCCTTAGTTTTCTCTTCGTGTTTCTTGTTTTGTTGTCTGATGTGGTTTGTGTCTTTCATGGTGGCTTCGAAATTTTCATCCTTTACACCCTCTTCCTATTATAGTATTAGGGCTTTTTTTTGTGGGTACCTTCAGAATCCTTAGAATCTCTTCTCATTTCCAATTAGCTTCACTGTTCTTGTGCTTCTCTACTCGCTCCTTTTTTGGTGGGCTTTCCCCCCATCTTGTTCTTTTGTTTGAAAGTTACAACATTTGTAGAAATCGGGTTATGGGTTTCATGGATTTTCAGTCATCCTTACGATCTTTGGTCTTTAAAATTTGATCATCTTTGGTATCTTATCTTTCATCCGAACCTAAAAATATGTACTTTGGCAAGTTCACGTTCATGGGCATGTTTGTGTATCTTGCGATGACAAGTTTTCAATGTAATTCCCTTTTTTATAAAGGGATTGAGTTTACTTTCATTTGGATCTTCTATTTGTCCACGAAACTGTTTTTGTGCCTTGTTTTTATCGCTGAGTTGCCAGAAATTTTGGAAAAAGGGAAGAGAATCTATTCACGTCTCTGAATCTGACTCTTCTGTTAAATGGCACAAGGTTTTGGTTGTCTGAATGTCTGAGCCACGGGAAAAAGTGTTGAACATTTAGTATTCAGACCGAACCTTCGTGGGATTCCTCCAGAGTTTCCCTTTTGTGAGCATATGATTGTTTATGCCGCGGTGATGGTTGAATGGGCCAATTGTAATAGATATGTCTATGTTTTGATCAAATGTTGACGTCTCTGAATGGAGATCATGCTTGTGAAAGTTGCTATGTGTATGCTTGTGATCCTTCTTTCTCGCTTGTGGTTTCCTAACTGGGTGAGCTGAATTTTGTGGTTCAGGAAACGGATAAATGGCATCAAAAGTTGCAGCTACTAGTAAGCCCGATGATTCTGAATACGAAATTGTGGAAGGTGAGTCTGAGAATGTTTTGTCCATGACAACTCCTTGGGTTAATTCCTCGACATTGAAGCTTAGGCATCGAATTGGAAGAGGTCCGTTCGGTGACGTTTGGCTAGCTACTCATCATCAGTCCACAGAGGATTACGATGAACATCATGAAGTGGCCATCAAAATGCTCCATCCTATCAAGGAGGATCAAAGAAGGGTCGTGTTAGATAAATTTGATGATTTATTTTCCAAGTGTCATGGGATGGATAATGTTTGTCAGCTGCGAGGAATCTGTAGCATCAGTGGAAGAGTAAGAATTATCTGTTATTTTTTAATTTCTTCTTGCAATCTATTGATATATCATGATGAATGCCCCGAAGTTGTTTGTGGTGTATTTTGTATCGTAGATATGCATTGTTATGAAGTTCTATGAGGGTTCTGTGGGAGACAAAATGGCTCGGCTTAAAGGAGGAAAGCTCGCACTGCCTGATGTGTTGAGGTAATTTTGCATTACACAAGCATTTGAAAAAGGTATATTGTTAAACTTATGTATACATTTCCAATTCTGAATCTTCTTCCTATGTTTAACACTATTTGCAGATATGGGATTGATCTGGCCAATGGAATCATGGAGATGCACTCGAAAGGGTTTCTTGTTCTTAATCTTAAACCCTCTAACTTTCTTCTTGCTGACAATGATAAAGCAGTCCTTGGTGATGTTGGAGTGCCTTATCTCCTTCTGGGTATTCAGCTGCCAAGCTCAGATATGGCAGTTAGGCTTGGAACTCCAAACTATATGGCTCCAGAACAGTGGCAACCTGAGGTAAGAGGTCCCATGTCTTTTGAGACGGCTTCATGGGGATTTGGGTGCAGCATTGTTGAGATGTTGACCGGTGTTCAACCGTGGTGTGGGAGATCAGTTGACGAAATCTATGATTTTGTGGTAAGAAAGCAAGAAAAGCCGAGTATCCCCAGTGGCATACCACCTCTTGTTGAGAACCTACTCGGGGGTTGCTTTATGTCTGATCTTCGTAGCCGCCCTTCAATGGCAGACATCTTACACGTCTTGAAGAGGTAATAACATCCGCTTCTATTTTATATCCAGTTTGAATGAATGAGTTGCAAAAAAAAGAAAAAAAAAACTTTTCTGGAACCATATATTCTTGGCATGATTTGTTACCCGAAACATCCACGATGTTAACTGTAATCCAACTGGCAGTTTGCAGAACACAGACGATGAAGAAGTCTGGACAGGCATTGAGACTAGAGAAATCAGGAAGAGCTCGGTTAATCTCGGATATACAGAATGGTTTCTTTCCAAGGATCATCTGCAAGTGGACGATACAGTTCGTTCAAGAAAGCCTGCCAACTCTTGCAAGCATGAAAACATGGATGTTCCAGAAGGAACAGTGGTTGGTTTAGAACGTGATACCGATCCAGAGGGGTTTGCTCTGGTCAAGGTTCATGGTCGTCATGACCCATTAAGGGTCCATGTTTCTGTTCTTGAACGCGTAACTAATGGCTTAGCTGCTGGAGATTGGGTAAGGTTGAAGGATGAAGACAAGAAGCACTCCCCTGTTGGAATTCTCCACTCAATTGATCGTGATGGGAATGTAACTGTTGGGTTTATAGGGTTACCGACCCTATGGAAAGGGATTTCCTCACAGCTTCAGATGGCTGAAGCATACAGTGTGGGGCAATTTGTGAAGCTGAAGGCTAATGTTCTTAGCCCGAGATTCAAATGGCCGTGTAAAAGAAGTGGTGGTTGTGCAACCGGGAGGATATCCCGGGTTTTACCAAACGGGTGTCTCGTAGTGAAGTTCCCAGGGATGTTACCATTTGGAGAGGAGCATGGAAGTTTTCTGGCCGACCCGGCTGAAGTAGAGGTTGTAACTTTTAGTACATGTCCAGGAGTTGTGAAGAAGTATCAACACCTTGAGGATTTCCACTGGGCTGTGAGACCTCTGTTGATTGCTATGGGAATATTGGCCGCCATGAAGTTAGGGTTCTTTGTTGGGAAGAAAATGGGAAGGACAAAGAACAGGAAACAACACAATGATTCCATTGGACAAGGTGATTGCCGGAATCTGGAGGACTCAGGCAAATCAAGATGGCTTGTGTTCAGTGTTTAGGTTGTGATCGTCATCCCAAACTGTGGTTTAATGGTTTGTGTACAATACATATATTGGTCATGGATCATCGCATTTGTATCCCCATGCTGTACATATACATAGTTTCTCTTCTGTTTCTCTTATGACTTTAGCTTAGCCTTTCCAGAACAAAGGAAACAATCTCTGTCACTGCCCCTTGCCCACCAAAGAACCTATTCCGTAGCAATAGATAACCATACAATTACAGGATATCATCACCAAAAAAAAATCTGGATAATCTATAGCCGGAAAAGAGTCTGAGAAATCTAGGATAATGTTGCAAGTTTCACAAATTTATCTCTTTCAGCCCGCACCAACACATATTCCAGCCTCCTTCAGGAGTTTCTCTGTCAATGCTGAGAGCCTGGCTACTTCTGTTTTAACCTCAGCAATAAACTCATTACTTGTGTCTGAATTCATTTCGGGATCAAACCCATTTTGTCGGATAACAGTGTAAGTAGCTTCAGCCTCAATGTTCATGTCAGATTTGTTCAGAAGTTCCCTGCTCATCTCTGCAAGCTTCTGAAGTGCACTAGTCGCAGCTTCAACTTCAAGTTGAGCTGCTTTGATCTGAAGTTTCTCGATGGCTAATTCGCCCATTGTTGTCTCCCTGATTCTCTCCTGTGCCAAGGCATAAAGCTGTTTTAGATCTTCACTGTCATTGATCGGATCTTCTTTCAGCCTCTCGAGTTCCTGTTCTGTAGCTTCTAATCTCTCCATGACTGCCTTGATCTCTCCGTCTTTGAGTGTAAGTGCCCTCTGAGCAGCTAGAACTTCCATCTCCTTGATTCTTAAGTTTTCAATGGTGAAACTTAGCTCCATCTCGAGCCGCTTGTTCTCCAATCTGTAAGCATCATGAGGTTTCTCAAGAACATGCTGCATCATTTCAAAGTCGATTTGGTCATCAACCATGGTTGAATTATAATCTCGTTCCTTGGTGGGCATAACCAGTTTGCTTGCCAGCTCCGCTATTCTTTCTACCACTGTTTCGGCATCACTGACTTTGAGCTTCATACCGCTCAATTCGTCTTCTACTTTGTGAAGGTGGTCATCTTTCTCCTTCAGCATTCCTGTTGCTTGCATAAGCTGCTCTTCTCTGCTGGTCATAAGCATCTTTAGGTCTGTAACCTCTCGGTTCACTTCTTCCAATTTCTTTCTAGCTTCTGCTAGTTCTAAATCCTTTTCTTCCAATAACAGCTGAAGAGAAGCCTGTTCAGATTTTAGATGCTGAATCTCTAGCTTAGCCTCCACCAAACTGGTCTCCTTCTCCTGAAGCAGGTTCTGTGCCACCTGAAATGCATTAGTTTTTTCAGCCAGCTCGGTTTGAAGAATGGAGATATCTTGCATAGCTCGTCCCAACAAAGATTTTTCTTTCTTTAACTCATCTCCTAGCTCTTCCAGAAGTTGTTTCTTGATTGACAAATCCAGCTCACGTGCTTTGTTCCGAGCCTCAGTGACCTTGAGTTTTGCTCTCTGACTCTCTAATTCCACTTGAGCATCTTTCAGGCTTCTCATGTATGACATCACACTATTCCTATGTTCTTCAAGTTCTTGTATTTGCTTTTCTAACAACAGCTCCTTTTCCTCCATTTGCTCCCTGGAGAATACCAAAGCTTTCTGGGAAGAAACAAGTTCGGACCTCACATCAGTAAGAAGTTTTTTCACTCTTCTGAAGTCATCCATGGTCTTGTTAGCTTCTCCCATGCGTTTCACTGTTTCCTCTTCAAGTTTCTTCACTTCTTCCCGGGCTATCAACCATTCCTTTGTTTGTTTTTCCAAATTGGCTACTGTTTCTCTGAGCTTTTCCTCATCCCGTTTCTTCATAGTCTTTAAATCTTCCAGCTCTTCCTCTTTCCCCTTGATGGCCCTCTGAAGTGCATGTATTTCAACTTCCTGTCTCTTCACAACTTCGTTGGCTTTGCTTAGAAGCTGAGACTTGATTTGAATTTCAGAAATAGCCACAGATAACTCTTTGCTTTTATTTGCAATCTCATTCCGCATTTTATCCAGTTCTTGGTCTTTCAAAATCAACGAAGCCTGCAAGGCAACAGTTTCCCTGTCTCTCTCCTTGAGCTTATGCTTCAATTCTTCTATCTCTCTAGCCTGAGAAGCTAACTCAATATTCACCCACTTTAGATCCTCTTGTAGACATTCATGTTTCAAAGAAGCTTCAGCAATTTTTCTTTCTCTTTGTTCCAGCTCAACCTTTGCCCGGTTCAGTTGGTTTTGCTCAGAGAGAACCTTCCCCTCGGCATCCTCTAAGTCCTCTTCCCTTTTAATCAAGGCCATTAGTGCAGCCTGAAGATCAGACTCAAGCATTTCAAGATTAAGAAAGGGCAGATTCCCATCAGAATAAACCGAACTTTGGTCCATTTGCTTCTCCAGTTTCTGTGTCTGAGCAAACAATCTATCCAGAAGAACCCTCGCAGGCTCTGCCGCTTCATTATCATCAATGTTCTGTCGGGTATCATTGAAGACAGATTTAACTATCAAACAAGAATATCCCTTCCCCCTTGTTGTTGGAAATGCAACTGCCTTCTGGTTTCGGTTGTGTCTTATCAAAACATACTGCAAAACAATATGCCACAGACATAAAGAAACAGTTCCAGCACTTTAGCAGCTCGATCACTTAAGTTCTTAATGCAGTAAAGCTCTTGCCAATGTAACCAAATATAGTAATAGCAAAACTCTGAAACCGCCATTAAAGAGAACATAATCCAATAAAGGCCCTCATCGAGAATGAAAAACAAATAAATTCAGATTTAGGCACATCCGAAGAACAGATCAAATCAATTTCTCTGCAAATGTTAACCAAAGTTCTAACTTTCATATAGGCACCCAAATATCTAGCTTCCATTGTTGAAGCAAAGCATTAAATCACAAGCAAAAGCTAGATAGTGCAGAATAAGAACAAATCTCGAAGCTTCAGCAACCCATAAGCAAATTAGGAATCAGAATGTAATCGAAGCAAAAATTACAGAAGTGGATACATATATATACCTTGCAGCGGGAGAGAGAAACATGGGAAGTAAGATTGAGGCTAATAGATTGAGAGAACACCATGAGAGCTCGACAGAGATAGCACAAAACCCTAATTCCCTACCGAACGCAGAACCTAAATCATCGCCAATCTTCGTCCGCGGAGGGTTCCGACAGTCCTGCAACATGAAAAACAGTGGACCCACGATCGCGAGAGCATAAGAGGAACGAAAATGGAAGGGAAATATAGAGACTCTGGAGAGAGTGCGGGGAGAGAGAACTGGGGGATGGAGCAAGGCATTGGAGGGAAAGA